TCAGCCTTCCAAGTAGCAGGAATTACAGGCATGTGCTACCATGCCCAGCTGATTTTCTTATTTATTGTAGAGATGAGGTCTCGCTGCCCAGGCGGGTCTCGAACCCGCGGGCTCAGGCAATCCACTCACCTCAGCCTCCCAAAGGTGCGGGATTACAGGCTGAGCCACGAGCCCGGCTAGGAAAAAATTGTTTTAAATGGTCAGGAGCAGTGACTCATACCTGTAATCCCAGCACTTTGGGAGGCAGAGGTGAGCCCAGGGGTTTGAGACCAGCCTGGGCAACTTGGTGAGACTTCGCCTCTACGATAAATCACAAATTAGCCAGGTGTGGTGGCATGCACCTGTAGTTCCAGCTACTTAGAAGGCTGAAGTGGAAGGATCACCTGAGCCCAGCAGGTCGAAGCTACAGTGGCCGTGAACATGCCACTCCACTCCAGCCTAGACAAGAGTGAGACTCCTACTAAAAAAGTAAATAAAATTTTAAAAAATGAAAGTTCCACAAAGTTTCTCACTGCACACAAAATAAAATCCAAACTCCCTACCATGACTGGCAATCCCTCCCCATCTGGACTCCTTGCTCCGACCCCACTCATCCTCATCTGCTCCAGCCACACTGGCCTGTATCTTCTAAAATGCTAAACTCCCTCCTAAGCTTTCTCTTCTCCCTGAGATACCCTACCAAAGATGACTTGACTGCTTTCCCCCCCATTTCTCAGCTCAGTGTCATGTCCCACCTTCTTTTTCCTGAGTTGGAGTCTCACTCTATGGCCCAGACTGGAGTGCAGTGGCCGCTCCCGGCCACCGCAGCCTCGACTTGCTGGGCTCTGGCGATCCTTCCGCCTCAGCCTTCCGAGTAGCTGGAATTACAGGCACATGCTACCACGCCCGGCTAGTGTTTCGATTTCTTGTAGAGATGAGGTCTCACCTGCCCAGGCGGGTCTCGAACCCGCGGGCTCAGGCAATCCACTCACCTCAGCCTCCTAAAGCGCGGGATTACAGGCTGAGCCACTGAGCCAGGTTGTTTTCCTTTCTTAACAGCACATATGACCTGAAATCATCTGACTTGTTTACTTGTTCCATGAGACTAGGCCCTTGTTTATCTTATCACTGGATCCTCCATGCTTGGAAAAGTGAGAGAAAGGTCTGGTCCACAGTACACTTTAATAAATATCAGTTAAATATTGAGTGAGTTACACATTGCTGACTGTTACCCTCAAAGATTTTTTCCTAGCAGATTGATCTCAAAGGAAAAGCAAAGTGATTGTGTGTGTGTGTATAAATGTTACAGAATCTTGAACATGACCTTGTCCAAAGCTTTCAGAAGCAAGTAACAACACACTGAGCTATTCTCTATATTATATTTCACAACTGATCTTGAGTATACACAAGATAGAAACTCCATTTCATCTTGTTTTTGTTTCTTAGAGACAGGGTCACCCAAGCTGGAGTACAATGGCTTAATCATAGCTCACTGTAACCCGTAACTTCTGGGTTCAAGTGATCCTCCTGCCTCAACTGCCAGAGTAGCTGGGGCTACAGGCATGCACCATGCCACCATGCCCCATGTAATTTTAACTTTTTGTAGAGACAGGGTCCAGCTATGTTGCCCAGGCTGGTCTCAGACTCCAGGCCTCAGGCAATCCTGCCTCAGCCTCCCAAAGTGCTGGAATTATAGGCGTGAGACACCGGCCTGGCTGGGATTTCATTTCTTAAAATGACTAACCTATCAACAATGTTTAGTTATGACACACTAATTCTTTTCTTAAAACGACTAACCTATCAACAATGTTTAGTTATGACACACTTATTCTTTTTCAACACTGCTTAAAGGTTTATAAATATATCAAGATCCTCTGATGAGAAGCCACAGCCAACAGGTTTTCTGGCACACAGTATAAGCTCGGTAAATATTTATTAAATGAATGATATGTTAATGTTTTCTAACTGTGCAAAGTTATTGAAGAAATATTCTTCTCTGGCTTCAAACAAGCTAATATCTTTGAAGTGTCAAAAATTAAAACCAATTCTTACAAGAAAGTAAAAGAAGAAATGAAAGTTTTTATTAGTGAAAAAAGTCAATTTATTATATTTCCAATAACCTTTTTCCTCTATAGTTAAGACAAACCATTTACATACACTTTACAATGTCGTTACTTAGTTTTTATTATTTTTAAAAGGAAGTTTTTTGAGGGGAATTTAGGAAAGCAAATATTTTAGAAAGAATAACTACAGGAAGTTACTTTCTCAATGCTAATATAGTAACAGACTTATCCACCAGGTTCATTAACCAGCATTTTCCCTTATAAGGAACCTATCAAGTACTAGCATACCAAGAATCTACAATTAGAAACTGAGACAAGAAATGTCTATAATTAAACAGGAAACGAGCAATCTAAAATACAAATCACAGGTTACTTTAACCGGGAAATTTGCATAATTAGATGTAAATTATTAATTATCTTTATGTTGATTAAGATCCTACCAAAGACTCAGTTGATCTGACTCAAGTTCAAGGTGCACTCATCTGGCTATAAGTATCACAATGGAATTGGGCTTGTTAAAAAATCACTTCAGTGTTACACATGTCCTTTCTTTAAAAGCAGGAGTTAAGTCAGGGTCGTCTTGGTTCTGAGTCTCTCCATTTTTGTTGGGAGAAGACTAACCATCTCTTTACTAAGTTCTAGCTCAACTTCTATTTCCTGGGCAGCCTCAGGGTGCTTTTCACAATAATCAACAATAAATTTGTAATGTTCCAACGATGCTGCCAAATTTTCTAGCTCTTTCTTGGGATCTGAAGTGATGATTTGGCTATAGAGACAGGCAACTCTAAACTTAGCTAGCATGGCAGGGCGAAGGACATCTTCCCCTATATGCTCAGGAAACACTTTATTTGGGTCTCTCAGTGAGTCTAAGAAGAGCTGGTAGTACTTCAATGCTGACTTATTAAGATTATTGATTTTTTTAACAATGTGTGAATCAGGATCCCTTAACTTGTCAGCAATGGCAACCTTCAAATCCATCATATCATAGTAAGTATGTGCAATTTCAAACTGGATCTGTCTGTTGACCAACAAATAGTACTGTGGATTCAGGTCTACTATGAGGGGCTCCAGCATGGCTATTCTGCGTTTGTGCATTTTGCATCGTCTCTCCATGTCAGTTTCAAAGAAGGCAAGCATCTTAAACAGAGCACTGTGGTCTTGGACAACTTCAATATGGTCAGTGACGTAACCATCAATCTGGAAGAACTCTTTTGCCTCAAAGACATAGTGCTGACCCACTAAGAAGAGTTCTCTGGCTTCCTCAAAATCTAAAGGTCTCAAATAGCTCACTTTCTCTTCCACTGCAGAGATGGCATCACACAGTTCACCAGTTCCAAACTGCACAGCTTTTTTCCTAATGCTTTCTTCCTTATCCAGTTCTTTTTTCCTCAAAGCTCTAAGTTCAGATTGCTTATCAAGATCAAGTTCTCCTATGTTGTCCTGAAAGAAAAAAACAAATTATGGTTAAGTAGGACACTAATTTCCTGCTGCCAAATAATATCAAAAAGGAAAAGACAACTCTCTTACTTCCCAGCCTAGTTTAGGGAGGTATTATAATCTTAAACATCTTTGAAACTGACTTTCTGCCAATTATATACCAGTTATATTAAAAACTCAAGAAATGAGAAAAACAGTATTTTAAATAAACAAGCAAACCGTTTAGATATTATGTATTCTCAGCTGGGCTCAGTGGCTCAGCCTGTAATCCCGCGCTTTGGGAGGCTGAGATGAGTCGATTGCCTGAGCCCGCAGGTTTGGGACCCGCCTGGGCAAATTGGTGAGACCTCATCTCTACAATAAATCAAAAAAATTAGTTGCGTGTGGTAGTGCCAGCCTGTAGTTCCAGCTACTTGGAAGGCTGAGGTGGAAGGATCACCGGAGCCCAGCAGGTCGAGGCTGCAGTGGCCGGGAGCATGCCACTGCACTCCAGTCTGGGCGACAGAGTGAGACTCCAACTCAAAAAAAAAAAAAAAAAAGATATTATGTATTCTCTCTGAGGAACTCTAACTCATTTAAAGTTACTCCTTCAAATAAGACAAATACACCATACAAAAGAACTTTGAGAACTGTGAAACATTATATACATGTAATACACTAATCAGTAGTATTTCTTTTTCAATATGATATTAAGACTATAATCTACTTCCTAAAAATATTCCACATTAATGATACGATGCTTATGCTACACGTTATTCAGTATAATATATTACAGAGAAATGCTCTAGGTCTCTTAAAGACACTAAAGTGAAGACAGAGTTAACTCTACCTTAACTCTACTATCATTGGTAGAGATGTTCTTAAAATGCACAGTGGCTCAAACCTGTAATTTCAGCATTTTGGGAGGTCAAGGCGAAAAGACTGCCTGAGCTCAGGAGTTCCAGACCAGCCTGGGCAACATGGCAAGACCTCACCTCTACGATAAATAAAAAAAATTAGCCAGGCTTGGTGACACGCGCCTGTAGTTCCAGCTACTTGGTAGGCTGAGATGGAAGGATCACCTGAGCACAGCAGGTCGAGGCTGCAGCAGCCAGAATTGTACCACTGCATAGTCCAGCCTGGGCAACAGAGTATGACTCCAACTCAAATAAATAAATAAGAGATAAAGGAATAAGATAAGAATACAAATAGAGAAAAACAAAACAGAATTTAAGTGACTTAGGAGGGGGCAAGAAAAGTTCTATGGAGTTTAAACTAGGGAGATGATATCTGTTGAGGATGAAGAATTATTCAATCAAATTATTGATTGAGAGTCTGTGTGCCTGAAGATAATAATGTAATAAGAACGTGATACAGATCCCATCTCTCCAGGAGTTTATATTCTAGCCAAAGGAAAGTCTTCAGGGTAGAAGTAACATTTCAGATAGGCCCTGAATGAGTAAGATTTTAAAAGGTAGAGATGAGAAAGGCAAATAAAAAGTTATGCAAGCATCCTACAAGTCTTCCATGATAAATACACAGTGAGCTCAGTGAGCAGACACCCCACCATGAGCTTTTACTCATATCCTGCTCATTGAAGAAAAAGGAAGGCAACCTGCGACAGCATTACCTGCATGGAGAGCTGCGCATCCTGCAGGAGCGTCAGACAGTACTTGATCCAGCATCGTGCTATTTCCCCTTTTCTTTGATGATAAAGCTCTGGCACATCTCCTTCAGCTTCAGGAGCTAAAAGTACAGGTGGGATTTGTCTCAGTTAATGGTCACAATTGTAATTTTCATTGTGTACTGTATTATTTTGAATATCATTTTTTCCTGATGATAAAAGGAACATCCTTACTGAAGTGGGGTGGGAGGAAACCCTCCCCAAATCCTACTGCCCGCAGGCACTCACTACTATTATTTTTACATGTTTCTTTCTAGTTTTTTCTTATGCTTTTTCTATAAGTAAAAATTAAGGTCACAATGTATATTCAATGTTCTTTTTCTTCATACATTATAGCAGTATAACTTTATCCATATCATTGTCGACACTTTAGCTTCATTTTTAAATATTCCATTATTTGACAAATGCTTCTAATATGGGAATTTGTTGTTTCCAATTCTTCACTATTATAAACAACTTTATGTCACGCAGCTCAGCGTCTGTGGGAGCCTGGTGCTAAGCCATTTATAGATGGCCTGCTTCTGGGCCAAAGTTTCATTCACAGCAGAGTAGCATAGTGGCTCATGCCTGTAATCCCAGTACTTTGGGAAACAGAGACAAGAGGACTGCCTGAATCCAGAGGTTTGCATCAGCCTCGGCAACATGGTGAGACCTCATCTCTACAATAAATTTTTAAAAATTAGGTGGGTGTGGTGGCACATGCCTGCAGTTCCAGCTACTAGGGAAGTCGAGGCAGAAGGATCCCCTGAGTCCAGTAGGTTGAGGCTGTGGTGCTTTTGAGTGTGTCACTGCACTCCAGCCTGGACAACAGGGTAAGAATCTGACTTTAAAAAAAAAAAAAAAAAAAAAAAGGTCAGTCCTCAACACACAGGTTTGTAAAAATTAAAAAAAAAAATCCTCTAAACATGAATAAATCTGTATAGTAAATCTATCTGGATTTTGGATTACTGCGTCTAAGCAACATAGCAAGACCTCATCTCTACAAAAAATATTTAAAAACATTCGCCCGGCATGGTGGTGCACACTTGTAGTTCAGCTATTCAGGAGGCTGAGTGGGGAGAACTGCTTGAACCCAGGAGTCTGAGGCTGGTGTGAGCCATGACTGTGCCACCATACTCCAGACTGGGTCACAAAATTAGACTCTGTCTTATAAAAAAAAATTCTAAATTAATTAAAAAAAAATAGGCCAGGCACAGTGGCTCATGCCTATAATCCCAGCACTTTGGTAGGTCGAGGTAAGAATATTGCCCGAGTCCGTGGGTTTGAGACCAACCTGGGCAACTTGGTGAGACCTCATCTCTACAATAAATAAAAAAATTAGCCAGGCATGGTGCCACGTGCCTACAGTTCCAGCTACTTGGAAGGCTGAGGCGGAAGGATTGCCTGAGCCCAGCAGGTTGAGACTGTGGTGGCCGGGAGCGTGCCACTGCCCTCCAGTCTGGGTGACAAAGTGAGACTCTGACTCAAAAAAATAAAAATAAAAATAAAAAAATAAATACTCCAGCCAGTCGCAGCGGCTCACACCTGTAATCCCAGCATTTTGGGAGGCGGAGGTGAAAGGACTGCCTGAGCCCAGGGGTTTGAGACCAGCCTAGGGAACATGGTGAGACCTTGTCACTACAATAAATCAAAAAATTAGCCAGGCATGGTGGTGCTCATCTGTAGTTCCAGCTACTTGGAAGGCTAAGGCAGAAGGCTCACTTAAGTCCAGCAGGTTGAGGCTGCAGTAACTCTGAGTGTGCCACTGCACTCTAGCCCAGGCGACAGAATAAGATTCCAGCTCAAAAAAACATTCCAACCATATGAGGCTGCTCAATGAAAACAAACTGAAAACACTGGACTTTTTTTTTTTTTTTTTTTGAGTTGTAATCTCACTCTGTCACCCAGACTGGAGTGCAGTGGCACGCTCACAGCCACCACAGTTTTGACCTGCTGGGCTCAAGCAATCCTTCTGCCTCAGCCTTCCAAGTAGCTGGAACTATAGGCACATGGCACCATGCCTGGCTAATTTTTTTATTTATTGTAGAGATGAGGTTTGCTGGGCTCAGGAGATCCTTCTGCCTCAACCTTCCAAGTAGCTGGAACTACAGGCACATGCCACCACACCCGGCTAATTTTTGATTTACTGCAGAGATGAGGTCTTGCCAAATTACCCAGGCTAGTCTCGAACCTGTGGACTCAGGTAGTCCTCTCACTTCGGCCTTCTAAAGTGCTGGGATTACAGGTGTGAGCCGCCTCGCCCGGCCAGACTTTTTTTAGCTTTCTATTTTGAAGAGTAAAAACAAAAACATATGTCACGGGTGATTTAGTTTTTTAAAATTTTTTTGAGATAAGTGTCTCTTAGACTTCAACGAATCTACAATTAATTAATATAGCAAATACATTAATGGGAAAATCCAATTTGATTTGATGCTATACATTCCCTTAACCCTTCAGAGCCTCTGCATTCCTCTGATCCACAACTAGAATGTCCATTTATAAAGAAGTATGATGGGCCAGATGCGGTGGCTCACGCCTATAATCCCAGCACTTTGGGAGGCGTAAGTGAGAGGATTGTCTGAGCCTATGGGTTGACCAGCCTGGGCAACTTGGTGAGATCTCATCTCTACAATAAATCAAAAAACTAGCCAGGTGTGGTAGCACGTGTCTGTAGTTCCATACTTGGAAGACTGAGGCAGAAGGATTACCTGAGCCTAGCAGGTCAAGGCTGCAGTGGCCATAAGCATGCCACTGCATTCCAGCCTGGGTGACAGAGTGAGACTCTGACTTAAAAAAAAAAAAAAAAAATGGCTATTTGGACACATCTCTTATGCATGTAGTACTCCAACCAAAAACATAGAATCCGATTTTGACATAAGAAAACAAATCCCAACTGATGGAAAATTCTGCGAAACAACTGAGCTGTATTCTTCAAAAATGTTTTGTGATAAAAGAGAAAGACAGGCTGAGAAGTTGTTCCAGATGAAAAAAGACTAAAGAATGTGGCAACTGAATACAACATGCAATTTTGAACTGCATGATCCAACACTGGGAAAAATGCTGTATGGGAACAACTGATGAAACAAAAATGTGCAAAACAGACAAAAGGACTGTATCAATGTTACACTTCCTAAATTTGATAAATGTTCCAGGATTATATAAAAAGATATTCTTGTTTTTAGGAAATACATGCTGAAGTGTTCCAGGGTAAAGAAGGCTAATGTATGTAATCTTCTCTCCAATGTATGTAACCTTCTCTCCAATGTATGTAACCTTTTCTCACAGAGAAAAAATAAAATTTGATTTCAAATGAGGAAAATACTAAAAATTGGTGAATTTAGAAGGGCACATAGTAGTTCTTTGTTCTGTTCTTGTAACTTTTCTAAGGTTTAAAATAATTTCAAAATAAAAAGTTTTTCAAAAGTTATGTAATAAAACATGCACAGATAAACTTACTATCTTCTGTGACTGTGATCTTTCCAGTTTGACCAAAAATGACATTAGCAGCTGATAAACAGTGCCTGGCCTCCATAAAGCATAGCTGTTGGGGAAATAAACAACAGTGAACCCAAACACCACACAGCTTTATTTGCAACTGATAACGTGCATAGTCTTTTAATATGGGAAAAGCTAAAGGTCAAGTTTTAAAAAATCACTCCTAAGGAGGTACTGTATAACTGCAGAACATTAAAAGGTAAAGAAGATATATTATCATATTATCTGATTAAAAAGCTACCTTGAAGACTGAAACAACAATGTCCTTAATAACAATCCAAACAGGCTGATACACAACTGTTGATTGAAAGTTAGCTCTGCTCACAATCAATAAACACATAGGAATGGCTGTCATCCTAGACTCAGCCTCAAAGACTCCTTTAGGGTTGGTCTAAATAGGCAAAGTTCTGTGCACAATAAATTCTTAGACCATTTACATTCTGACAGAGGACTGAAGATTCAATTTTTTTTTTTTTTTGAGTTGGAGTCTCACTGTGTCACCCAGACTGGAGTGCAGTGGCCGCTCCCGGCCACCATAGCCTCGACCTGCTGGGCTCCGGTGATCCTTCCGCCTCAGCCTTCCAAGTAGCTGGAACTACAGGCGCGCTACCATGCCCGGCTCATTTTGATTTATTGTAGAGATGAGGTCTTGCCAAGTTGCTCAGGCGGGTCTCGAACCTGCAGGCTCAGGCAATCCACTCACCTCAGTCTCCCAAAGGCACAGGATTACAGGCTGAGCCACCGAGCCCGGCTTAATTTTTTTTTTTTGCGTTGGAGTTTCACTCTGTTGCCCATGCTGGAGTGCAGTGGCATGCTCACGCCCACCCTAACGTCGACCCACTGGGTCCACCTCAGTCTTCCAAGAAGCTGGAACTACAGGTGCACGCTACCATGCCTGACTAAATTTTTGTTTATTGTAGAGACAAGGTCTTGCCAAGTTGTCCGGGCTGGTCTTGAACCCGTGGGCTCAGGCAATCCTCTTATCTCGGCCTCCCAAAGTGCTGGGATTACAGGTTGAGCCACTGAGCCCAGCCGAAGATTTAATTTTTATTAGGCTTAGAGATCACTTTCATATCCTACTGTTTAAAAAAAATAATAAAAAAGACAAATTCTGATAGGAAGAGATTCCTGTGTTCCAAATTCTTTCGAATTTACAGACAATAAGGCCTCCCACCAAGTTCTAAAGTCAAACTTCTACAGATGAACTTTATGAACCTGCTTTACCAACACTTTTGAACTTCATAATTCAATCTGAGCATGGTAAACTTCTCAAACATTTAGAGATCTCCTTGTTAATTAATATAAACACTTTGTATTGTCACGTAAGTCACAGACAGGATCACCCAGCAGAAGTACAAAGTTAAAGTTCAACTTTTAGTTGGTAGCCACCCTCATGCAATAGGATGTCTACTTCATATGTGTAATACATGAAAGACTTTTAATGGCCGACTATGACTTCAAAATCTCTGCATTAAATATATCTCTCCACTATGGCAAACTCAGAAGCCATCTTGAAAACAACTGGGCGCCATGTGTAGTACCAGTCCAGCAACATCTAGATCAAAGTGTTGCCGTCAAATCTTGAAAGCCAAAAGAAGTTAAAGTTTGCATACAGAAACTTTAGTTATCCCTCTACAACCCCTTAACCATTATCATCACTTTAGCTATGTCAGAATGGCTTCCTATTAGCAACCACTGCTGGAATAGCAAGTGCCTTGTGCTGCATTCTTGGAGGCTGATAAATGTGGGATTTTTTAGCACCTGCCAGGTAGGGACTCACCAAGTAGCAAAATCTCATCACTGGAATCAGATGAAGATGACAATGACAGAAATGAAATCGCATTTTAAAACATGGTTCAAGTCCCTTTTTTTTTCAATATAACTTAGCTGCTGGTAACAAAAACTTAAAAAAACTTTTGGTAACAAAATGAAAGTGCAGGGTGGGGGAAGTACTCATGAAAATTATCACATACTCCACATAAGTAATGCTTAACAACTTTAAATTTTTAATCACACTTTAAATTAGTATCTAGATGGCTTAGTACTACCAATATCCATGGAGTTTTATGTTAATAAAATCATAGTGAATGTATAATTTTAAAGTTGCTAAACACAATGAACAAGAGGTCTCCAACAGCTATAAAAAAGATGCCACTAACCCTGAGCCTTTGGGATGCTGAGATGAGTGGATTGCCTGAGCCCACAGGTTCGAGACCCGCCTGGGCAGCGAGACCTCAATAAATCAAAAAATCAGCCGGGCATGGAAGCGCATGCCTGTAATTCCAGCTACTTGCAAGGCTGAGGCGGAAGGATCGCCGGAGCCCAGCAGGTCAAGGCTGCAGCCACTGCACTCCAGTCTGGGCGACAGAGTGAGACTCCAACTCAAAAAAAAAAAAGATGGCACAAGCAGAGGCACTGGGTACCACTTTTGATGACAACCACGATGGAATGGATCACAAGAATTAGAGTTAAGTGAATGCTCTGATATATGCAGTAGTGTTACTTATACACTTGAGCTTAGACCAAAGTCCTAGAAGCGATGCTGCAGCCACCACAGCCCTTTCTCTCCTGCTAATAGCTTTTCTGAATGCAATTCTGTGGGACAATACTTTAATCAAAGGGCACATTTACAGAACCAACACTAACAAAAAGCCTAGAAAGGATAAAGGCCCAAGGATAAGGCAGCAGGTTACCAGAGATAAAAGCAGCAGCTCTGATGAGAAAATGACCAAAGTTTCAGAAGAGGCTTGTGAATTAGAAACACAAATAAAAGTAATTTCTATTGCTGACATATCTTGTTAAAGATGAACAGAGCCGGGCTCAGCCTGTAATCCCGCGCTTTGGGAGGCTGACATGAGTGGATTGCCTGAGCCCGCGGGTTCGAGACCCATATGGGCAACTTGGTGAGACCTCATCTCCACAATAAATCAAAAAATTAGCCAGGCATAGTAGCGTGTGCCTGTAGTTCCAGTTACTTGGAAGGTTGAGGCAGAAGGATCGCTGGAGCCCAGCAGGTTGAGGCTGCGGTGGCCGGGAGCGGCCACTGCATTCCAGTCTGGGTGACAGAGTGAGACTCCAACTCAAAAAAAAAAAAAAAAAGATGAACGGAAAAGATGGTTGGGAAAAGTGGCTTAAAATCATTTTAACATTAGAGACTCTTAAGAACTAAAGGAATAAATGGGTCAATTACGAGTACATCAATATGATATGAGCAATTCTGATAAACTAAGAAGCTCAAAAACGCTGTACTCATGTAACAGTCCAAAAGGAGTATGTCATAAAGACCCAGGACTACAGAACTCAGCAGAGATATTGCCTACACCGAAAAATTATTCTAGAGAAGTTAATTCTGAAAAATAACTGAAATGTATCACATGCTTTTATCAAAGCCCACATTTAACAGTCAACTTCCTCAGACAAGTTCTCAGAGTTACCAGATTACCATTTCATAAAGATAAAGCTATATCTACAATATAAAATCTGCAATTTAGGTAATATCTCACTAAAATAAATGGCAATAGCCTGCCTATGTAAAGAAGAATTGGTCCCAGGTAACATGTACTTTTAGGGGTTAGCAACATATAAGACAATGATAAATCTCACTATTTTAAGACCCAAAAGGATTCATGCAACAGAAAGCTACAGGATTTTAGTATACTGGCAAATTGGACCACATTTTTCTGTTCAGTTTTATATCCTAGAATACAAGCTATTTTTAAAAGATAGTATTTTCAAGGAACTACAGACGCTATTTTTATACTCACTATTGGTACTCTGTTAAATAACGACTTCGAGAAGCTTACCTTATTGATGTAAAATTGTGATAAGGTAGCAGCATTGATGGCCCACTCTATAGGATCATAAGCATTGTGCTCAAGTTGACGTTTCAGTGTACTGTGGCAATAATGAGCAGCCTTCTCAAACATTTCCATATGCTGGTAGACCTGAGCCAGGTAGTAGAGGTTATGAGTATAAACCTTCTCGAATCTGTGAAGGACAAAAAAAAAAGATATTTGCAAAATAATTTACCATTTATGCGTAAATGTCATTTATATTTATTGTGACCTTCCCACCAATCCTTTGAGTTTGGTTATTGTATTTATTTGGTAAATAAGGAAACTGAGTCTCAGACCTGAACAAAGTCACTTAATTATTAAGTGGCAAATGGACTCATGTCAGAGCCCACATTCTGTAACCTAACCTAAGTGCCCTAAGGCAGAAAACATCATGCTTTTTTGAACAATCACCTTATCTACACTCTGTGGAAATACCTGGATGACTGACATCTATATCTCCTCACCTTTTTGATCTCTCTTGTTCAGTAAGTTTCTCTTCTTCAGGAAGAAAATGCTCAGTGGGATCAAGAGGAGGACTCCCAATCTACATTTTAGAAAAACAAAAGCACTTTAAGATGTTAAACTATAAACATCAAGTGCCCTCTTCTGGAAGAACTGAGAAATCAACTTTTACAAGCCAAATACACTTCATTTTTTTCCTAGTTCACTTTCATGTTGATTTGCTCTAATCTTTATTCTCAAAGGGAAAAAGAGCTTGTTATGGGTAGAAACCATATTTTATCCACATTTGATTCCTGAGCATTTTGCACAGTGCCTGGTACACAGTAGTAACAATAAATATCTCAGAAATTCAACTGACAAAGCAAACAGGAAAGTTCAGTCTATGCAATCTGCTCACAACTCATTCCTTTCTGGAGCCAGATCGTGTGGGTTGGAATGCCAGCTCTACCACTGACTAGTGTGTGACTCTGGGCAAGTCACTTAGTCTCTGGTACTTCTGCTTCCTCATGTAAAAAAATACAAATAGTAACAGTACCTACTTCATAAAGTTGTCATGACTTAATATTTGTAAATGAGTTAGTATTTGCAAATCACTTATAATAGTGTCGATAAGTACTACAAGCGTTGTTTGTTAAATAAGATATCTCTCTAGCTTATAAGATTTTGTCTCTAGCTGGGCTCGGTGGCTCAGCCTGTAATCTTGCACCTTCGGGAGGCTGAGGTGAGTGGATTGCCTGAGCCCGCGGGTTCGAGACCTGCCTGGGCAGCGAGACCTCATCTCTACAATAAAATCAAAAAATTAGCCAGGCGTGGTAGCGCACCCCTGTAATTCTAGTTACTCGGAAGGCTGAGGAGGAAGGATCGCCGGAGTCCAGCAGGTCGAGGCTGCGGTGGCTGGGAGCAGCCACTGCACTCCAGTCTGGGCGACAGAGTGAGACTCCGACTCAAAAAAAAAAAGATTTTGTCTCTCTCTTTTTTTTTTCCTTTTTTTAGAGATGAGGTCTCATCAAGTTGCCCGGGCTGGTCTTGAACCTGTAGGCTCAGGCAATCCATTCACCTCGACCTCCCGAAGTGCTGGGATTACAGGCTGAGCTACCAAGCCCCACCAAGGTTTTGTCTATTAATTGCCCCCTCAAACCTGCCAACAAATAACTCTTCATTAGTATAGAATTTGTTTTCTTCTTTATTCTTCTCTTATACTGTGTTTGAGCCATTTTATGGAGAAAAAGAGAATCTCTTTATCTTAATACAATAACTATTTAACTAGATTACCTTGGAAGAGAGCATAGTAAAGCAGAAGTTTTGAACATGAGTTTAGGGTCAGAAGAACCAGATTTAAATCTTGATTCTGCCACCTACTATATGCTAACCTCACTGAACCGCCAACTCCTTACTTGTAAATGGGAATAATAATAGCCACTTCACAGAGTTATCATGAGGAAAAAAAATGTAGCCTATTTAAGCACTCAATACATATTAATGCTTTTATATTTTATTTATTTATTTATTTATTTATTTATTTATTTATTTATTGAGTTGGAGTCTTACTCTGTCGCCCAGGCTGCAATGCAGTGGCACACTCACGGCCACTGCAGCCTCAACCTGCTGAGCTCAGGCGATCCTTCCACTTCAGCCTTTCAAGTAATTGGAACTACAGACGCACGCCACTACGCCCAGCTAGTTTTTGTGATTTAGTGTAGAGATGAGGTCTCACTATGTTGCCCAGACTGGTCTCGAACCCCTGGGCTCAGGCAATCCTCTCACCTCAGCCTCCCAAAGTGCTGGAATTACAGGCTGAGCCACTGTGCCTGGTCTGTATTTTATTTAAATAAATGTAGTTACATCATCTAATACTAAAATGTGAGTTTTTTGCTTTTGGTTTTTTTCTGAGTCATGTCACTGCACTCCAGCCTGGGCAATAAAGTGAAAACTTGACTCACTGAAAATAAAAAATAGAGCTGGGCTCGGTGGCTCAGCCTGTAATCCCAGAACTTTGGGAGGCTGAAGTGAGTGGATTACCTGAACAACTTAGTAAGACCTCATCTCTACAATAAATCAAAAAAATTAGCCGGGTGTGGTAGCGCGCACCTGTAGTTCCAGCTACTTGGAAGGCTGAGGTGGAAGGATCACTGGAGCCCAGCGGGTGGAGAATGCGGTGGCCAGGAGTGGCCACTGCACTCCGGTCTGAGTGACAGAGAGAGACTCCAACTCAATCAATCAATCAATCAATAAAAATAAAAAATTCTTAAAGGGAAGCCATGATTTTGCCAACATGATGATGCCACCATTTTAGGAAATCTGAAACTTTTAAAAAATTCTTTTCTTTTCTTGCAAATGGGGTCTTGCTATGTTGCCGAGGCTTGCCTTGAGTTCCTGGGCTTAAGCAATTATCATTCCTCTACCTCCCAAAGTGCTGGGATTACAGGCATAAACCACCATGCTTGGCCCTTTTTTTTTTTTTCTTTTTGGAGTCAAGGTCTTACTCTCAAGGTAGCCCAACCTAGAGTACGGTGACATGATCACCTTCCAAGTAGCTGGCTCACCACTGGCTCAACCACCTAGGTTCAGGCAACCCTTCTGCTTTAGACTCCCAAGTAGCTGAGACTAAAGGTATGCACCACCATGCCCAGCTAATATTTTAATTGTTCTGTAGAGGCGAAGTCTCACTATGTTGGTTGGTCTCAAACTCCTGGACTCAAGTGATCCTCCCACCTCAGTCTCCCAAAGTACTGGGGTAATAGGTATGAGCCACGATACCAGCCCAGTATCTAAAACTTGTATATCCTTTTGTAGCTAAGCACTATGATAGCTGAATTTAGCACATACATTTATATGTTTAGTCTCCTTTATGTGGTATGTAATATTATTTCCAGTTCTTTAATGTTATAAGGACATTTTACTGATGGATTTACAAAGCAGATAACTGTGACAAATAGTAATCTCCAGCAAAATACTGTGCCAGATAATTTCTCTTTCATATGAAAAAAAAGTATAAGGAAACAAATGTTAACACGTGGTTTTTCCCCTTTGCAGGCTGTACCCTCTAAATTGAGAGTTTTCAATCTAGGACCACAGAGGCCTGGAAGTGCAACAGCACCTGTTATGTACTACTAAAGTGAGGAGGTAGAAGGAATCTGTAATGCATTGGGCTCAGGGTCCTTTTGATCTGCTTACCCGGAATAGCTCGATCATTTTTTTTTTTTTTTTTTTTTGAGTCGGAGTCTCACTCTGTCGCCCAGACTGGAGTGCAGTGGCTGCTCCCGGCTACCGCGGCCTCGACCTGCTGGGCTCCGGCGATCCTTCCGCCTCAGCCTTCCAAGTAGCTGGAACTACAGACGCGCGCTACCACGCCCGGCTCATTTTTTTGATTTACTGTAGAGATGAGGTCTCGCCAAGTTGCCCAGGCGGGTCTCGAACCTGCAGGCTCAGGCAATCCACTCACCTCAGCCTCCCAAAGGCACGGGATCACAGGCTGAGCCACCAAGCCCAGCTTATTATTTTTTTTAATATGCTGCATTTCAGAAGGGTTTCACAGGCTAAAAAAAAAAAAAACCAAAAAACTGAAAACCTACTGCCCCGAATCAATGGTTCTCAAAGTACTATAGAACACTTAGACCAGCAGCATAAGCATCACCCAGGACATTGTTAAAAATGCAGATTCTGGCCATTGCCTTACTAGACTCTGGTATAACCATGGGCTCTTTGAGCTATGGCCATCACCATGTTTCCTGGCTTTGGTCCCCTTCCTTACCTTGGGAAGGTGAATCTCCTCTTTCTCTCAATTTTCTCTTTAAACTATATTTTCTAATCTTAAAAAAAAGAAAGCAGATTCCCAGGTCCCATCACAGAACCACTACATCAGAGTCTGGAAGCCTCTCTGCTGTGTTCTCACAAGCTCATTAGCTGATTTTGATGCATGCTAACGTTTGAGAATCATAGTCTCAAAGAGTTCAGATATTTTGCTCAAGTAGTTCTTGCCTGCTTTCCTTTAAGCACTGCTATTTTCACTGGAAACCAAACAGAAGTTTTAGATTATAAGTACAAAAATATGCAAATAGTATTTTAGGATAACATTAGAATCATATTTCCTTTATAACTATGACTAAAGTTGCCATTATGCCCTATCCAAGGATTGTTATAAAAACCTCAAAATCTTGCCGGTTGCACTGGCTTACACCTGTAATCCCAGTACTTTGGGAGGACAATGGGAGAGGAATGCCTGAGCCCAGGGGTTCGAGACCAGCCTGGGCAACTTGGTCAGACCTCATCTCTACAATAAATCAAAAAATTAGCCGGTGTGGTGGTGCATGCCTATGGCTCCAGCTACTTGGAGGGCTGAGGCAGAAGGATCACCTGAGCCCACCAGGTCGAGACAACAGTGGCCATGAGTGTGCTACTGCACTTCAGTCTGGACGTCAGAGTGAGACTCCATCTCAAAAAAAAAAAAAAAAACTCAAAATCTTAGTCGTTCAGCTATTAGGTGACTTCCCAGACAGCTCCATAGAGAAGTTCCTAGGTTTTGAAGAGTCACACCAATATAATATGAATAAGGAGTTGGTAGTATAAATTCTTGACTAGTTTCAATAAAAATTAAAATGTATCTGACAAATAACATACCTCTTTCATATACTGATTATATAGTGCTTCTGATGACTCTAGGTAAGCCTGTGCAGTTTCAATATCTTCTCTTTCAGACCACAAGATACCCAGATTATTCTGGAAAATAAAAGAGAAGCAAACAATATCAGACAGACTTCCAATTGAAATATCTTTCAGCCGGGCTTGGTTGCTCAGCCCGTAATCCCAGCGCTTTGGGAGGTTAAGGTGAGTGGATTGCCTGAGCCTGTGAGTTCGAGACCTGCCGGGGCAACTTGACAAGACCTCATCTCTACAATAAATCAAAAAAAATTAGCTGGGCGTGGTAATGCGTGCCTATAGTTCCAGCTACTTGGAGGGCTGAGGCGGAAGGATTGCCGGAGCCCAGCAGGTCAAGGCTGAGGTGGCCGGGAACAGCCACTGCACTCCAGTCTGGGCGACAGAGTGAGACTCCAACTTGGAAAAAAAAAAAGAAATATTCTTCATATTTTTTAAGTCAATACCTACTAATCAAATAGTACTGAAGCTTGATTACCAATGAATTTATTATTCATCACAACACTGGCCTTATAAAGTGGAGTACGTCGCTGCTAAGATGGACCCCCAATGATCCCTGTTTCTGGTATTCATGCCCGTGTGTAACCTCTTCCCCTTGAGGATGAGCTAGATCTAGTGACTTGCTTCTAATGAGTAGAATATGGCAGAAGTGCTGGAAAGTTGCTTCCGAGATTAGGCTACAAAACACCATGGCTTCCATTTTGGGTGCTCTCTTGCTCTCTTAGAAGGAAGTCAATCATCATGTTGTGAGCCACCCTATGGAGAGGCTCATATAAAAAGGAAATGAAGGAGGTCAACAGTGTGAGCCCCTCAGACAAAAAAACCTGAGAAACTGAATCTTGCCCAAAAACCATGTGAGGGAGTTGGGAGCCAATCCTCCCCCAATTCAGCCGTCAAGTGAGACTGTAGACCCAGCAGGTCAACAATATGATGAGAGACCTTGAGCCAGAGGCAACTAGCTAAGCTGTGCCAAGATTTCTGAGATAATACACACAGATGGGCCAGAAGTATATAATGCTTTCAAAATACTAAAATATACTCTAGAGGCCTCAAAAAATAAATTCTCAATAGTCACCAATTTTGTGGTTCAAGTCTGAAAAAAAAAAGAGGAATGAACTCAGATTCCAGAACAGATCAATAATTCAAATGACAATAATACAAAAATCCAGAAGATGCTATATGCCTTTCTCATCAGTTAAATCAGATTCCTAATGTTTACCATTTCAAACAACAAAACATTTATATTTTCGAGGGAGTTCTTAAAAGTATGGTTTTATAATTTTATTGCCAATCGAGAAGTCTCATTGATTCTTCTTTCTCAGTGTCTTTTATAGTATTGATCTCCTCCTTCTGATTTCCATTGTACCAACTTTCTTCTGCTACCATGAAGGCTAAGGTGAAGTGGAGTGGGTTTGAGGTTATATCCTAAATATTTTTTTTTTTTTTGAGTTGGAGTCTCACTCTGTCGACCAGACTGGAGTGCAGTGGCC